CTTGTTTCCTCTCTGTTAACATCTGACCTTCGTATTCTTCCTTCTATGGGATTGCTTCCTTTGGTCTTTTGCTGGTTTGGTCTCGATGGCTCTTCAAAGTTATTTTGTTTAGTCGTTTAGTCGTGGCTATCTTAGGGTGGTCGTTGCTATTGAGGAATCTGCCTTATTCTCAGTCTTTTGTGGTTTAGCATCATTTTCATTTGCCTATTGACTGCCATTTGGAGTTTACTTGTGTTTCGATCCGGTTCGTGCTCTTACCGTCTCCAGTCTTCGGTATGGTTCGGATTGCTTGGGCTCGGTCCTTGTCTCTACATTATAGATCTGATCGAGATCTCATCTTAGGTTTGGTATCTTTCTAGGCGTTAACAAATCGTGGTTACCTTGTTTCTTCGATATCGCCGCTTCCAGGAGCTGTGTTTGGTTCTAGATCGTTCTAGTTCCCTTCTTGCTGGTATGGATACCTTGGTTCTCCTTCTCAGTGAGGTAGTCTTCATTTGTTAAAGGAAGAGTCGCTCTCCATTTGTGTGGATTTTCTCGTCCCTTTCGGTTAGCCACTTTGTCAAGCTTGTCTCTCTTTTGGTTTGTTGATAGGTTCTTTGATATGTGCTAAATTTTGGGTCTATTGTTAGATCTCTCTTGTTTTAGTTTCGGCTTTCTCCCTCTTTGTTGTTGGCGTTGTTTTGCCATTGCTTCCCTCTTTTGGGCTTAGTTTCCGGGGATATCTTGTTATCCGTCGGCTTAGTTTCTGGGATCATTTAGTTGATCGCCGGCTTAGTTTCTGGGGGTTAAAGTCCCGCCGGCCTTTGTATTCCAACAACGTATTTCACCTTTGTTATATAATCATTCAGAGAAAAAAAAAAAAAAAAACTCAACGTTCAAATAGACTTAACGTATATATGCAAAGTATGAAGTTAGGTATTTTTAGCAAATCAAAGTAAAACAACATCAAGCTTACAATTTTGTATATATAAGTTTATCATGATTTTACATATATCTTTTGCATATATTTCAAAAGTGCCCACACATTTGTGGTCCAGTGGTAGTTGAAAATTGGGGATATGTTGGAAGGAACTAACCCAGGTTCGATCACGCTGGAAACAAAAAACACATTTGTATGGGAAATCTGGGCTAGGGTCAAAAGGCCCAAGCAGTTTACCTGGTAGTCCAGTAACAGGCGATCTGGCTACCCCCTGGCATTAGTCGGAAAGCATTCCAAACTCGGGACAGAGAGTGTGGTGGCCCTTCGAGGAGTAGTCCACTCTGAAACATTTCGGTGCGTTTATACCGGAACTGACCGGATTAACCGATAGAATTTATCAATATATATATATATATATTCTAGAAGTTTAATAAACTAGGTATCTGCGTAGATATCTCATTATCAAGCTCTAGGGCCAAGTATGGAGTTTCATGTGACATGATGATGTACGTAGACCGTAGTGAAATTGAAAGATTCATCAATATAATCATGTATATAATAAATGTTGGTACTACATGAAAATGCTGCATATATATAACAATATAATTCATAAGATGGTACGTGAGAAAAATTCGAAAAGAAAATCACGTGAAGCATCATGACCCACCTTAACACCATTAAGATAGAGCATCTCGCGACTTCACGGTACTTGTCTTCTAAATTTAATGCTCGTTTTTTTTCATTCTTATTATGTATGTCAAATTGTCACTATACATAGACTTTTTTGTTTTGGACGAAATCACTATACATAGGCAAGTTATTGTGACGAAAAACAAAATGCAAGTTATTGTTTTTTGATGATTGTAATTGTTTTTTCTATTTTCTTTTTGTCGACAGCAATAGAATATCATTAGTTTTTTAATTAACTCTTTTTTTCGTTTTCAATTTATATATACACTAGGATTTAACTCGCGGTACACCGCGGAGTCATATTTTATTTCTTTAATTAACAATGTTAAAAAAATTTTAAAAAATAGTATTCAAATTAGATGATATAAATTTTTGATGTTTTTAAATTTGACCTGTAGAAATAAATTTTCTCTGTTTGTATAACCCGTCAAAATAAAAATTAGAATTTAATATTGTCATTTTCTCTTTACAAATTTATTTTATGATGTGTTAGTATTACGATTCTCAATTTTTTTTTATATGCAAACAACATCAAATGCATGGAGAAGAAGGTATGATACATTTCTGCTTTATATTTAAATATTCAATATATTGATAAAAACTGAAATCAAATTTAAAAAAAAAAAAACTAAAAATTGAAACTCTAACTTCAATCCGACGACTACTTCTATCTCCTCGATCATCTCTAAGCCTAGAAAAAAACAAAAATAATCCAAATCAGTACCTTCCATACAATCGAGAAAGGAGTCTCTAAACTGAAAAGATGATTTCAATTCAAGAACAATCACCTATTATGGTCACGATCACGGCATTGGCCATAGTCATCATCATCTCTTATACCACGTTCTCTTCTTTCACTACGCTCGGTTCTATGATCCATGACGACTGTTTATATGATGACGCTCACAATCTCTGTATGTTCTTTCCATCTATATCGCTTCTTCCAAGAGAGACTTTAGAGTCATTTTTCTGTCCTTATCACGGCCATTCTCTCTTTCTTTATCATTACTTTTTGAAGTCTCTCTTCCATGGTCACGTGTTTCTCTCTACACAATTAAAAACACAACTCATAAATTAGTTTTAAGAATCAATAAAACTAAACGAAAACCATACAAAAAATCAATGAAACTAAAATAGATTACAGCTAGTAGATAAACTAATGATATAAGAATAACAAAATTGTACTATATTTATAGTGTTAAGAGAGTTGTTTGTAATTTTCGGGTTGATAGAATATAATTTCTCTAATAAATAATAAAATCAAATCTAAACGATACAATTTTTTTTGTTAAGAACGCATTTGGATAGTAATTATTATATGTGCATGTATACTATTAAATAGGTATTAAAACGGAAATGTAGGATACTATTTAGATTTTTTATAGAAATTTCTTAAACTAATTAGATTCCAAGATTTGGTACGTGAGAGTAATTAGGGGGATCACATTAAATAATCGAAATTTTGAAAAGAAAGATGCGAGATTATTGCAAAAGATTAGAGCAAATATTTTTAATCCGGCGAATATATTTTAATGTTTTACTTGGAGATGAGTAAATAATTTATTGATTTTAATTCTCTTGTTGTAGATATGGTTAGTAGGATTATCGTAAATGTTAAGTTGGTAGTAATTAAATGAGATTTGAGATCTCGGATGAGATATTTTTCAAAATATAGTCGAGTTAATATTGAGAGATTTGGGGAATAATTGGTTAGTAACTAATTGTTTAAAATATGGATCTTTAATTCAAAACGTGTAATCAATAATAACAACCATTTAATGTCTTTTTTTTTTGTGCAAAATTAAAGGAAGATCCGTTTAAAACGATTTCGGGTAAAAAAATAAACAAAAACCCGACCCACCAATGGCATTCCATTGTAAATACTTCTCAACTTCAGAATTTATTTGCTAAATGTACTCCAAAAATGTATATATAGATTATTTTTAAATTGAAATCGAATTATAACATAACAACGATAATAGTACAAATCAATATAAGCTCTGATTCTTTGTTACTAGCTTTATATTGTTAGTTTTATTAGCATCATGCTTTTTGATAGTTATAAAACTCGACTACTTGTAAGACGATCGTAGGTTTCTCAACAAACAAAACTTCTCGAAAATATGTATTCAGATGAATAACTTAAACCATGATTAATATTTTCAGTTTACAGTTTCTGGATTTTATATATTTTAGCCGAAGGACCCTAAATACAATGACTAAAATATTGCTCCTATTTACTCCTTTTTTATTCGTTAAAATATTCACTCTATTATTGTGAACCACTAAATCTTTTTATAAAAGTATATATATATATATATATATATATATATATATATATATATTGAGTACACACAATAAAAGTATTAGAAAGGTGAGTACTATTATTCTTATTGTTTGTGTGATCTTTGTATTCATATTTATTCTTAAAACAAAATTCTTGCTAATTATAAAAATTTCATTTAGAGTGATGCGTCAATACACGTGAGCTAACCTCCAAACCTCACACCCTTTTTCTCTCTCGCTTAAAATGCTTCACACCCAATTTCCATTTTTTTGAATTTTCCCTTTGGATAATCCATAAATATACTATTTTTTGAGTAAATGAATTATTATCACATCAATTTAATGCATTTTTAATCTGATTCCACAACTCAATTTTGGATTTTACTCAAAAAGAGAAAAGTTTGGTCCTACTAAAATTATATACCCTTTTCAAAGTTGTGGCTTTCCCATCTGTTTAGTATAACTTTTTATTTATTGGTGGGAAAACATAGTTTCCATCAATTTTTCTTTCCGTTTTTGGATTCAAGAGTTTAAAAACAAATCAAGTTGATACCATTGCCTTGTTTAGATGAATGATGAATCTAATTCATAAGACTTTTGTTTGTTATGATAAAGTCTTAATTATCAGATATTTTCACATGATATAATATAAGATTCTTTCTTTTTGTAGAAATAATCCAATGAACAGTATACAAGCTTGAAAGGTCATACAATATAATAGGAAAGATCAAACGAAAACTGCATTAATAGTTGTTTAGTGTGATGTAAAATATGACCTACCATTATATTAGATAGATGTCGTATTTTAGCGTATAAAGTTTTAACTTTTAGATTGAGATTTGTAATTTACTATACTTGTAGCTTATCACCACCACATCAATTGAGTCCCATTTAAATATGATATTATACGTTATAGATTTATTTTATTTTATTTTCTTATGTTCAATACAGCCCCATAAAATCTAAACACATAGATGAAAGTAATCATTGGCTGATTAGTACGCATGAAAAATTCTCATGTATTTAATATTTTAATGTAGTTTTTATTTTATTTTACAAACATGATTTACTTGACTAAAATTGAAGGTGAAAAAATAAGATGGATTAATTAAAGTGAAGACTATTTTACCTTTTTTCGACAAATAAAATAATAATTACAAACTATTATTTTTCCCAAACCAACAATCCCACTGAAAAACAAAGTGGGAATTGTAGAAGAGACCATCTAAACGCATCTTACCCTTTCTAACATAGTTTTTGTATTCTTCCTACTAGTTAAATTGCCACCAAAAAAAATTTAATATTTTAAGTAATAAATAAAAAACGAATTACTACTATTCAACAAGCTGCAGATGGATTAGTAAAAGGGTTGAAGAAGTGAGGCTTTGAGGAGATGGAGAAAGCTCCTTTGGCCGTACTTCCATCCACAACCACCGCGGTAGCCACGCTGCCGCCACCTCCTCCATTACCGCCACCGGCGCCGATTCTCTCACAAGAAGGACACATCGTTAGAGTCGATGCAGGCATGTGCATGTAAAAAGGCTGATGAGTCAATTTTAGGGTTTTGAGTTCTTGAATCTCTTTCTGAAGTCTCATGTTCTCATCTGTTAATGTTTCACAACACTTCTTCAAAAACTCACAATCTACTTCTGTTTGCTTCAGCTTTGTCCTGCTCAAATTTTCATTAAATAAAATAAATATATAGCTTAAAGAAAAATAATATCACCTACAAAATTTTCTGACTATTAAATAGACAATTTTCGAAACTTGTAAAAATCAAATAATATTCTGATAATTTATAAGAAATAAATAAAAATTACCTAGCTCTTCTATTTTGAAACCATACTTCAACTTGTCTAGGCCTTAGATTCAGCTGTCTAGCCAGAACTTGCTTTTGCTTCTGTAAATAAAATAAAAACAAAGAATCTGATTAGATAAGGATTATCAAAAGTGATTAGTAACATATAATAAAAAAGAATTAAGATTAAGGATATATAATTACGGGATTAAGGGTGCTATGATGCTTGAAGCTATCCTCAAGAAGAGCAGATTGTTCTTTCGTAAGCCTAAGTTTTTTTCGAGCACTAATACCTTCTTCATCTTCATTGTATTCACTTGTAACTTTCTCCGTCGTGTCTTCCTCCTCCGGCGACTCTTCTCCACCGTCTCTCTCTCTTTTCACCACCCTCCCGCTTGAGAAAGAAGAGACTCCGCTGTGAGATGACGTCTGACGGCATAGTTGGTCAGCTCCGGTCACCACGGTAACCGAGGGATCGCCGGAGAGGCTTAAAGTCAACGACGGCTCGAGCTTGCAACCGGAGGATCGTCTGATGGCACTACTGTAATTATTTGGAGTAGGTGAGAGACCTAATCCAAGAACAAGACCTGTGTTGCATGAATCATCAAAACCCATCTGAGTCGAAGTGAAAAAATTATGCCTATGTAAAATTTATCTATCTTTGAGATTTCGAGAGGAAAAAGAAATGAGTTTTTTTTTTGTTTGTTTGATGAAGTTAAGAAGATAATGGGAGGAGATGAAGCCAAGTGGGCTTCTTAAGAAGGAGAAAAAAAGTATTTTTATTTTATATTTTTAAGAAATTGATGGGTGGGTGGATGGCTAATAATTATTAATCAAAGGAATGATTTATTTTATTTTAAAGAAATAATTTTATTTTCTTGGTAATTATTTTTCTGAAAAAAAAAGAATAATGTGGGAAATTGTGATGGCACAATTCTCTCTACTTTTATTTTTCTTACTTGCAAAGGTTGACCAAATGAGCATCTCACTTGGCACTTGCTACTATTCTTCCCACTAAGAGAAAAGTTCCCAACAAAGTTCAATGATTTTATATTTGGTAGAATAGAATTATCATATCATGAATATAATAAATTAAATATTATATCTAAAGCTTTCTTCATTCTTTTTCTGGTATCATTGGGTTCAGTCGGCATTGGTATTTTAGATTTGAATCAATTACGGATTTGCCATTTTTTGGGATGGCATTTGTGGATTTTGCCTTTTTTGAATAGTTTATGGATTTTACCCTTTTTCAGGCTACGGAAACATGCGTTATATTCGTTATGTTTGGGTTTAGTCGGTTGTGGTTGTTCTTAGGGTTTAGTATTTTGTATAAACTACGTATTTTTACCAAAAAAAATCCGAAATACGTACATTTTTAAGTGTTAGAAAATGGCAAATCCATAAAATTTTTGCAAAAATGGCATTTTCAAAAGATTTTGGTAAAAAATGGCAAAATCAACAATAATCCCTTTAGATTTTTATATGGGATTATTGTCTAAAATGCCATTTTTTTTTGGAAAACTTACGAAAATGCTATTTTTTTGAATAGTTAACGGATTTTGCCATTTTTAACACTTAAAAATGTATGTATTTATGATTTTTTTTTTGCAAAAATACGTATTTTATACCAAATATTAAACCCTAAGAAAAAATGGAACCGACTAAACCCAAACATAACGAGTGAAACGCATGTTAAATCATATTTTTGGAACCTGAAAAATGGCAAAATCCACAAACTATTCAAAAAATGGCAAAATCCGTAATTAATTCTTTTTATATCATGAAGCGTTATACTGTATTACGTTTGTACATATATACATATATGTTAATGTTTATACATTTTTATTTTGTTATGTTACAATTCTATCAACAGGGATTAAATTAGTATGAATAGTAATTAGAAGATGATTAAGAGGTGCCTTTAAATAACGGACCACAAGACAGTTTTACTTTTACCCACTAATTTTCAGCCTCTCTTTTTCTTATGACAGAAACACATTGGCCCTTGATGTTCAATTCATTTATTTAATTAGATATTATATATTTTAGTTAAAAAAATTTCTGATTTGATACATATGGATAGTGATCCCCACCATCTTGTATAGGTTTGGTTCTCTTGATCTCATTCACCAATTCATTTAGTACTTTTTCGAAAGAGTTAGGCATATACTTTATTTTCGAATATATATATATATATATATTTAAACAAGGTGATTCATTACCATACCAATTATTCTTCACATCCTTAATTTGTCTGAAGCTGAACTCATAGCTATCTTTAGATTACAAAGTATTTCCTAGAGTTTTATAATATATCTTATCGCGCTTTCTCTTTCAGGATAAATCGATGTACTAATATAATGTAACACATAAGAAAAGAAAAAGAGTGTAAAATAAGAACAAGCAGATTTATGAGTGTTATAACATATAACAAATGTTACTTATTTACCATGGTCTTAAAAACTGGAATTCAAACTATTTTGGAACAATCATTACATCACAAATAAGACTTGGTCAAGCTATATCGCTAGATATAACTAATCAAAAGTCTTAAGTCCGGTAGTTAGGTTAATTACATTACCCGACTTTTAAATCCAAGTTCATACAATATGTGGTCGAAACAGTTGTAAGAAATGGGTGCTCACCTTTTAAATCACTTTTTGTTTGGTTACCTGACGTATCATTAGAGCTATCAAGAGAACACACACCAAATAAATAAAGGAGAAGTACAATAAAAGTGGGTAGAAACCAAAAAAAATGATGTGGGTGAATATGATTCGTCAACAATAACCTAAAATCTTTGGAGTAATTGATTAAGAAAGTTGATGTGTAACATTTCATTAGGTTTGGTCTCAGCTATGTTATTTGTTTTGGCACTTCCCAATAATGCATTTGTCGGCTATACTCGTCCAACTGAAGTTAGGTTACCCATCCTATACATATTGTTATCATCATTATTTGTTATCCCTATTTTTTCATCTATTATCTAATCATTACAAGAAAACATGTAATTAGCGACCACACATTAAGTAGCGTAGTAGTCGCTAAACCTATTAAGACGACAGTTTGGCGACTAAAACACGTAGTCGGTAAACCTTGCGTCGCTAAATTTATGAGTCACCAAACAGTCGCCATTTAGCGACTGAATAACTACTAACTTATGTGCCGTTATTTAGTCGCATAACAGTCGCCAAATTAGCGACTGTTTGGAGACATTATTTCCACTACATAGTGACTCTTTGGCGACTATTTGGTGACTGATATAGCGACTGTTTTGCCACCACATGGCGTCTGTTTAGTTTAAGTATTGGTGACTGAAATGCAACTATTTGACGACTGATTACAGGTTTAATTATCAATTTTACATTCTAATTTATGGAATCCTAAATTTAAAAAAATATATTTAACAAACAAAGAACCTTGATTCAAACACACAACATAATTCAAACATGTTCACAACATAATATTCAAGCTACATAATATCAAGTTTTTAAGTTTAGATAAGAAAAGCAACTAAAGGAAGGGGAGATGAGATGTTCACTCCTCGGCTTGATCTTGTGAAGCATTAGCAGTCTGGAACTCTTCTGTTTGATCTTCTGAAGCAGACTCGAGGAAGGCGAGAAACTTGGGGTCAGTTTCGGTCAAGTACTTCTTCACCATCCTCAAGTGTTTGATCTCTGCTTGTTGCTCATTAGCAACACGCTTGATCTCTGCTTGCTCAGCTTTCACCCGCAATGCCTCTGCCTCCCGATGTGCTTGGAGATTCGCTTGTTCTTCTATCTTGCGGTTGGCTTCCTCAAGCTGTGACTGCAAGGAAGTGAAAGCAGAACTGCTTCCTGGGTACTTCCTCTTCCCATTGATGTACCTCCCTAAGCTTCCCATTCCGAAGTATACCCCTCTCTCGTTTGTGACAGTTGACTGCAAAAAAAAGACAAGAGGATTAGTTCTTAAAAGATGAAGTAAGTGATAATAATAATAAAAAAAAAGAGGATCAACCACATTACCAGAAGGAAGATCTCATCATCCTCCTCTTGAGATAGTTCTGATCGACGGGATGTACCATCAGACCCTTCATCATTCACAAGGGCAGCCAACTTAGCTTCCTTGTTCTTCAAATATGCCTCATGAATTTCCTGCGCCTTCCTATCAACAAAACTCCCATCTTTTTTGGTATGAGTCCTAATGAATATCTCACCAATAGTAGGTGGTCTTCCCAGCTCAATTTCCTGAAATGTTGTTCACAAAAAAATTTAAATTCTTAAGGAAAACCATTATGTAAATAAACAAGAGTGCTTGATGTAACTTACCATCTCTTGCTCGATTTGTAAGAAAGACTTTGGCCCCGATACATGCTTGTGAGGACCAAGACCATTACGGTCAGACATTCGAGCTGCTGATGTGGTTGAACTCTTGGCAAGGGCTTCTTCTGTGTCCAAATACTCACACATTTCCTTCCACAATGTCTTCTCAATCCATGGCGGTCTCTCAGTGGCTCGTTTTGAGCAAGCCTTAGAAACCATGTCCTTCATACGCAGCTGACATATTTTGTAAAATTTCTCTTCAATTACACCGGTCAGTGATGGATGCCATGTGTGTGTTTTCTATAAAACAAGAGGAGAGTTTGATGTTAGTGATCAAACAACCAAACCAAACCAAATGGATACAGACAATAGAAGTTAATTTACCGCGAATTCGAGGAAGTATTTGTGTCTTCTTTCAGTAGGTACACAACTCCAATTGTAATATGGCCCATTAAACTTGTTTGTGAATACCTTTGTGATCTTCCGGGTCAGCTTACCATTGTCGTGACCAAACCTACAATTACATAAACCAATTAGCAAGCTTACCATATACACACATAATCTTAATCTACTCAGCTTACCATACACACACATATTACTCAATATTAACCCTAAACCTAATATACTCAGCTTACCATATACACACCTAATCTACTTAGCAGATACACACACACATTACTCAATATTAACCCTAAACCTAATCTACTCAGCTTACCAATAGGTTTCAGGCTCAAATGTGGGAGAGATGACCGTTGTATACTTCTCACGTCCTGGCCGGAGAAGCAACTCATGGAGAGTGGCAAGCGAATCTTCAGGGAGAGTTGATTCCCTTTCATAATCAGCCTCAAACTCAGCTTCCTCATCTTCATCTTCTTCCGCATGTGAGTTTTGAGCTTGAGAGCTGTGATGTGATACAGAGGCTCGAGGTGGAGGATTTGACGCCTGCCAAGGTGGAGGATTGGAGGCTTCCCGTTGAACCGGCGCTGGAGACTGATTGGAGGCTTCCCGTTGAACCGGCGCTGGAGACTGATTGTAGGCTTCCCGTTGAACCGGCGCTGGAGATTGATTGGAGGCTAGACGATGAACAGATCCTCCAGATCTAGGTTGAGTAGATCCGGATGCTCGAAATGGAGTCGAGCCAGATCTGCGAGGAGATCCTTCGCCTGACTGGAAAAGTTGCGTCGGAGGAGGATAGTCCCTGATGGTTGGACCCGTTGGAGGCTGTGCAATCGGCTCTTGTTCAGAATCTTGAAGAGGGGCTTGACGATTCGCCGGCGTGAACTCATACTGGATGGGAAGACCCCTAGGTCTTCGATTCAAGGTCTTCGATTCAACTCGTACAGGCTGGGAAGAAGTGGGTCGATTTTGGGGGGGGAATCTTCGATCCCCTTCCTCTTCCTCTCTTGCCTTTTCCACCACGAGTCTTCATCATTCAAGCGTTCAATTGAGAGATTGAGAGGATTGATGAAGAATTAGGATCGAATCGAGAGAGAAGGAAA